GTTTTCCGCTCTCTTTTCCTCCTGCTACGCAGCAGGCGCTTTCATGTGTGCAGCTGATGGGACACCCCCCGCCCCCCAACGGGTGCGAGTTGTTCGGATTTTTAACAAAATTTATGGATTTTTGAGGCTTTTTATACAGGTAAATGTGTGAAGAGGTTGACATGTATGCTTCAGAGGCCCCCTCGGAAAAACACTGATCTAATCAACATGCTTCACTCCTTGAATTAGTGTCCATCACATATATGCAAACAAATTAACAGGAAAACAGCTAAAGCTAGCCTTTTTTTTTTGTTGTGGGACAAAAAAAAATAAAGAAAAAAATCAACCTCATGATTAGTTTGGTTAAAGCTTCAAAGAGCGGCATGTGACCCCAGAGCTGCAGGTTGCAGACCCCTGCACTAGATAGAGCAGTGCTAGTAGTTCATGGGAAAACCTCAGCAGTTCTGCAGGTAATACACCTTCAAAACCAGCAGGTGGCAGTGTWAACCTGACAGATCTGCTCTGCAGTGCAGATACCAGGACAGGCCCATCTGCTTAAAGGGAAAATACAACTTTTAAAAAAACAGTTTGAAGAGTTTACACTGAGCAGCCGTCATACACACACTTTTTTTTATAGGAACATCAAAGTTGTTTAATTTAAAACATAGTGATGAATTATTTTGCCTCTCTGAGTAGTCTCCACTAAACTTCCTCTCTGATTTTTAAAACTGACTGTTAGGACTCAGGAAAAAAGAAACTACCCCTTTGTTTCTTTTCAGAGCACTTGCCCTAATTGTACAGAAAGTGTTTATTTGCATATGTGAATATTGCAATCCCCYGAACAAACGGTGAACTCATTGTGCTGCAGAAGGTATTTCATAACACGGACAAAAGAAATGACATCATTGGTCACACCTAATGTGTGCTCTAAACATCCGCTGGGGCCCTGCAGGCAGCATCCAGGAATTCTCCACCCTGCTYCGGACTCCAGGCCTCCCCTCACCCTCAGAGCCTTCTCAAGCTTCACCGAGACTCGACCAGGACTGGGTGGGACCGACCACCTTCACCACAACAAAAACAACAACAACAACAAGGCGAGCGGTTCCTTGTGAACTGTTCTCTGGGCTGAGTGGCTGGAGACAAAACAGTGGACGACAGCCAAGCTTGAGCCCTGACTGCGACCTTTGGGCTGCAGCCACCGCAGTCCGTCTGCTCCACCCATAGATTCTTTCCACAGAAAACCCAGAAGAGATTTCATGGGTTTACCCAGACAGGAGTCATCCAGGCAAGCCCTTTGCACCTGCGAAGTCTTAGACATCCTTCTCTTTCACCTGCCTCTCACTCACGGCTGTCTCCACTATTCTTATACTTCCTTTTCTTGCTCATTCAGCTAGTTTCTATATTTTTTTTCTCTCTGAGCCCTGGGTTGTGACATGGTGGCAGTTTCTCTCTGTCGCTGCAGCTTTTCATCCTCACTGTTTGCACTCTCTTTTCCTAAAAGCCCATAAATAACACCTGATGCACCAAAGCTGCAGACTTCAAGGGAGAAAACAGCTTTACAGCCCAAATRGATGGGATTCAACTACATTAAGTTTAACTGCAGTTAAAAAAAAAACAGAGACTGATGGAAAAGAGCAAACCAAAAAACATAAATCACTCCACACAGCATCTCTWTGTTATGTTTGATTTGGATTCAACTAAAACCTTAAATCCTGCTGCTGTGGATATCAGACTGGAGCATAATTCATACTGTGAGACAGCACTGATTGCACTTGGAACAATAGAGTGGGCTTCTCTATTTCACGTTATGTGTTTGTGTAACACCCCCACCCCTCCGTTGCCGCCTCCTCCCCACATTCTGCAGGGTGTCTGGCCTTCACTTGGCTGTCAGCCCCCCTCCCAATACACAGGAAGCCAGCATCCAGTGACCCACACCAAACATCCTGTAAGGAAGTGGGGCCCTTAAAAACAAGTCCTGAGAGGGGAGGAGAGGAGAAGAGTGGAGGACAAGGCCCTCCCTGGATGGGTGTGGTGCTTAGTGGAGGTCTCACAGCCTTGGCCTCKCTCCCCTCCACCCCTTCACCTCACCTGCCTCCACCCAGCATTCTTTTGTGAAGCATTTTGTGGACATGAAGCCAGTTTTGATTTCACTTTGGTCTAAAACGTGTGACAGGTGCATTATCCTAATGTAGACATGTAAAAAGACCACTGAAGGCCTTCTCATTAAAACAAATATGAAAAACTGCTTAATGTTTTTGAATGAATTGATAATTTTTTTCTAAGAAATAATTCTTGCCTTGTTGTTGGTTCAAAAAAATTTAATAATCGCTCATCAAAGTTGGTTAAACCATCTCATCTGAAAAGTARCTGCTTTCGCCTTCAAGGAAACAACATTTTTTTGTTCTGAATCAGTTCATTTTTTTCTTCTTGATTGAGCAGCTCAGAACTCATCCCAATTTAGTTTCTGTAAACTCTACAGTGCATGGGATCAGGCACCATTACAGCTCTCCAGTGACAGAAAACGTGAGGCTACATCCCTGAATGTCCTCTCCTAAAAACCAAGTAGATTATAAATAATAATTATTAAAAAAACTGGTCTAAATCAAGTCGATTAAATTATAAATRTAAAGGTGGGCRCAAAGCAGAAGATCAGATGAGCAMTAAAATAATGTGCAGGGCCTACAATACAATTCTGACAGCTGTGTACATAAAAAAGGGCAGGATTTTCAAAAACTGGTCACTAAAAACACAGCCACTGCCAGAATTCAATGAGACTGCAACAATTATTTTCTTCCAATTTTCTTGCGTGTTTGCACTGACTAGTCTCGAACAGTTGCAGCCCAGTGCAAGTAGAGGACTCTGTAGTCACTAAGTGGGAGCTTCTTGGGTGTGGGCTTAGTTTTGGGTAAAGAAAGTGGGTCAAAATTGAACGAGGATTGGTAACTACACAAATAATAATTTCAATCATAACCTGAGACAAGAATGCGTTAGTCAAACAAAATTTGAACATCGTACATGAGGAGGGACTAGTAAGAATTAGTCAAAACAGCCCTAATCTGCTTGGATAAAGATCGTTATTTTTGAAAATCATGAATTCATACAGGCAGGTAATAGTCATAACAAATTTGAAGTCAGCAAATTATATTTCTGTGTTCACGATAATTTTACCATTACCATTTTACATCACATCTTTTAACTCCCCCCAAAAGTAAATTTGACCAATCACGGCTTACCCAAACTATACCCACACCCAAAATATCCCCACTTAGTGACCGCAGAGACCCCCTTCTCATCCAGTGAGAAACTACCATTAGCCCTCAAAGTATGAGTTATCAATGACTCTTAGCTACTACCACATTTAACTTTAATGTAATATTTGTTAAARTGACTGMACTAAAGGCAGTTTTGTGTAACTTGGGCAGACATCTTGAATTGGGCTGACTCTTAAAGTTAGAGTTGTAAACGCTCAGCCTGTTTTTTTGTTTTTCAGCAACAGATGATGACRATTAATACGAGCCGATAAATGTCCTTGATTTGTTGTAGTGATAAGGTAWGATGTGTTACCAGGAACAGGTGTCTCGGCTGCCGACTCTTCCTCGAGACCTTCATCAGAGTGCCCTCTTTGACAAATATCTGTAAAAGAAACAACATGAAAACTCATTAAAATTCATAGCAATCTGTCAAACTACAGTTAAAATCACACCAACAAGTCCATGTTTTATGCTTCCATTGAACCCAAAAGGCTTTAGTGTGTGTTTAGATGTCAAGAGAGCAATGTCTTGTTGTTCTTCATGATGAAATAGTAAAATTGTTCCATGATGCTCACCCTTCCCGGCTTCAGAACGTCCCTCTTCCCCTTTATGCTGTACTCTATGTGGACCAGACGCAACAAGTTCTCCTGAGGGAGAAAAGGAGAGAGATGAAGAGAGATGTCCTGATGATGGATGGAAGGAGCAAACAGAGGATTAAACCTTCCCTGTTTGTTTGTGAATGAAAAGGGGATGTAGGGCTGAGAACTGAATGGGGAGGAAGAAACAGAAGGACTCTGTGTTTCCACTGTCTGTCAGAACATGTGTGTGTGTTAGTGGACGGGCACAGAAAAGACAGGAAGAAAAAAGTGTGATAAACAAAGGAGGCGAGCCAAAAAGACACAGGGGAGCTTGACTGTGAAAGACGTGAAAGACACGAGAGGAGGGTTTGTAAATTATCTCTGTGAACTGCTCGTGTTTGAGGAGGAGCGTTAAGTCATGTCCACCCTTACACTGCTCCCTTTGTAACGACACACTCGGGACCCTCTGATGATATAAACCTTCCTCCCCTCTTTTGTGTTTATCACCAAATAGGGTTTAACCTCTCCGTCACTCCAGATAATTGTTCAAAAGACAAAATCACACAGAGGCTTTTTCATGCTGGAAAACTGACATTAAAAGCTGAATATAATGACTGAAACACTGCGGTGGATTTTTTCAAACTAAGTACCACAGCAAATTTTAGCTAAATATTCATGACCATTTCGTAGTTGCACATGCTTTTTTGGAAAACGCTGAGGTTTGCTATTGAAATTGGAATCAAACAAATCGACCAGTAAATTTACGCCGTTATTCAGATTTTTCATAGATATTTAAGGAACACATCTGCTTTTTGAGTTTGTTGAATTTGCACAATTCCAATGCAACCTCAACGTTTTCTCGCTTGACCTTTGACACGGAAGATTTAGGCTCCGCTAGCACTCGTAACTACAAAATTACTGCTTAATTACATTAATTGGGTACTGTTTGAGTAGAACTCGGACAGTACACTGAGTGTTTGTCATGTGTTGTGCTAAGTAGAGTTAAAAGAAGGGAGGGTGAGTGTTGGAGGAGGGGTCAGGACTGGTTGGGGGTGTGGTCTGGTAGATGTATGTTTACAATGGGGTTAATTTAATCAAAATAAATGTTTAGATTATTTAGAAGAGTTCCTTCTAGTGACTGTTTCCAGTTTACTGAGGTTAGGCTTAGTTTTATTTATTGGTTTAGATATATATTTGAGTTATTAATATATTAATATGTTGGCCCATCAGTTAGGAGGACTAGTTTAATTGCGATAGTACTCTCTGTTATGGTGCTGTGTTTTGTGGGTGACCCATAATGCTTTGTGGTTGAGTAGGGGGTGTGGTTTATTGTGGTGGATGGCTGGTAGAGAGTGTGTGTTTTTTTAAGGGTTAGGTTTAGTTTAGGGTTATGGTTTTGCGGTAGACCCCATCAACAATATAATTAATTTGTAATAACCATTCCAAAGTCACTTCTCATATAAGTATCAGAACATCTTAAACAGCCGCAACCTGTATGCGAGTTCTGGTGAATTTGCGTATGAGCGGGGTTCATAAATGCAACGATACGGTATCTAGTTATAGCCATTTTTGTTTTGGCAAATTTTGTTGTGAGCGGTGTGAGTTAATTTAAAAGTGATTCAGTTGTAGATCAAGTGATTTCAATATATCTGGTGGTTCAGGAGATGTTTTTTCTAATAATAGATGATTGACTCCAGTAGTTAATGGCAACATTTTCAAACCAGATCTTATGCCATAAGTTAGCACTCACAGTTTGTGCTTTGAATCACTCTAAGCAATTAATAGACCAAAATGTAGACCAACATCTGTAAAATTGGCAGATTTTTAGCCACTTCTGTGCTTGAAAACGGTGCTTATCCACAGTGGACATTTTGAATTGGGTTGACTCCAAAAGCTACATCCAACTTTATGAGTTGAGCTAAAAACCCTCTAATGGCTCATTAGATATCTTGCTGATGCAACAGACAGCCAAACACAGGCATGGGAAAAACCAGGATTGTTCTTTGTCTTTGGCAGCAGGTGATAATTGGATTCAACACATGGGATGCATCAGGTGTTTGAAACCCACCCCTTGTTTCAAGTTGTCATTGGCCTGGTCTGCTACCTCAGACACAATCACCTGCGCAGCTGCAAACAGAAATAGGGAACAAAACAGAAAGTGACTGAATCAGATAAAGCCTGTTTACAGATATGCATGTTATAAAACATGACATTTATAGTTCAGGTTCTTAGCACGAAGCTCATTCTGTGGCTTTACCCTGAGTGTCCTCGTATTCTTTTGAATCAGGAGAGAGGTTGTTCAGGTAATCTGGAAAAAGCAGAATATAAACAATAAAGAAACACCCTCAAACAAATTATTCAAACATGACTTTCATATATTCAGAATTGTTTTAGGTTTATTTTTTGTTCTGCTTTATCACAGACTAGTTCTGTTTTTAAAGACATTGAGGTTTTGTTTCTTACTGAGGGAAGAATGAGACATGAGATTAACTGACACATCAGTGCAGCTCCTGCAGTATTATATGATCTGTGCCAGTTTATTGTAGTGAAGCAGGAGCTGGGCTGCAAGGAGAAGCTCTCTGTTTAGCGATCGATCTGCATTCCTACCCTCACCTGTGGTTACAAACTATGGGTAGTGAGAAAATAATAAAAATAAAAAATCCCATGTACAGTTGGTTTAAATTTTTTTTCTTCACAGGGTAGCTGGACTCTGGACACCTCCCTAGGGAGGTTTTCTGGGCATGTCCAGTTGGGACAAAACTCCAGGAAAGACCCAAGACATGCTGTAGAGACTATGGCTCTCTGCTGGCCTGGAAGTCCTTTGGAGTCCAAGAAACTGGAAGAGGTCTTCTGGGAGGAAAGAGATATCTAGGCCTCCCTGCTTAAGCTTCTACCTGACTCCAGAGCGGCAGACAATGGATGGATGTTTTTCTCTATTTTGTACGTTTTATTTTAATAAATGGAAAAACAAAGTCTTGAAGTTTGTTTGTACAAAAATTAATGGTATGAAAAAGTACTTTATACCAATTGCCATAAAATGCTTGAGATTGGAGAATTAAAAAAAAGATAAATCTGGTCAAAACTAATTACTGGCCCCTCTTTTAAAAGATATGAACTAGCACTTTAAAGTGCCTGTGATATCAAATTTCTGTAATAAACTGGAATGCATTTTTGGAAAGATAATGATAATGAACAGATTGCAAAATAAATTTCACGTCGCCGAGATAAACAGTTGTTGAGATCTTTGCATGCGAAGTAACAGGAAGTGATGACAAAGGGAATGTCTGAACATGAACAGAGCATTGATACAATGGCCGACAACACAGAGAAGAATCTGATGTTTCTTTAGATTATTTTGAGTCACTTTCAAAGAGAGAGATGAAGAAGACACAGAAAACATAGAGTTTAAATAATATTGTTTCAATAAACAAAGACCAGGGTTCCTTTTCTTAAAGAATTCCCCTTTGATGTCACTTCCTGTTACACTTTGGCTGAGCCAAGTTCAAAAGAAAACAGGCCAATTGTGTAACAAAATGGATGAAATCATGTGCATTATGTCAAGTTTCTTCTGACTTTGTATTTAAAGGATAGATAACTCACAGAAACTTTAAAGTAAACACTACTAAACTGTAAAAAATGAAATGTTGGATTTACCATGTTATGTTACCTGGTTCCACTTAACTGAGTTGAGTAATTTCAAAGCAATATGCCAGTTTTTTAGCCAAAGGACGAGTATGTTGCTTTGARTTTACTCAACTCAGTTAAGTGGAACCAGGTAACATAACATGGTTAAGTAAATCCAACATTTCATTTTTAGAGTGTACGGCAATTTTAAAAAAATAACAACCTACATGTAATTATTTCAGTGATGATGTGTGTTTACCTGTGAGCAGCATTCGATACTGAAGGACTCTGACAACAACCTGCAGCAGCTGATGGTTCATTGGAACTTCTTCTGGGTCTTTTTTCTGCACAAAAATGAACATTCATTTATCATCTTAACTTTACATTCTGCATGAAAATTATCTTATTCCTGTTTTACATTTTGAACTGCACACACCAGAAACATCTGATTAGTTCGGCTCCATTACATTTGAGTAAATTCAGTATCTCCAGGTAACCATGAAGTCCACCAAGAGATTCACAGCTCTCAGGGTCTTCCCAACGTTGCTTACTGCTTTCATATGGCGCCAGTCAAGGTCAACACTGACCGAGGGAATTCTGTTTTTCAGGGTGACCTTCACATGCGCACACACAAAAAAGCAGACACTATTCTCTGCTGGCGGGAAAAAAAGAGACTAAGAGTGGCACTATCAAAGAGCACATTGGAAAATCAATCAGGATCTAATTGCCTCTGACAGGTATTTATGCTCTGAGAGGTACAGGAGCAACGGGGGTCACACACACGCACACACACACACAGACACACACACCGCACATATACACACAGCCTCTTCTAATCCAATGAAGTCCTACCCTTCATTAGTGAGGCACAGATAGCACCCTGCGGGAAAACAGCGTGTTCATCTTTATTTATACTGCACACACACTTTACACACACACACACATGTAAAAAAAAAGTGTGAATGATAAATCCTTTCCCACCTAGGCACAAATACACACTCACACAGAGCGACTGAGAAAACAGTGAACAGTAGACTGAAGAGTTCATTATTTATTATCAGGATGCTAAAATAAAAACCTCGAGCTAAAGCTTTGGATTTTAGCCAGCCCTTTTAATTTTAATTTCTTCAACCCACTTCATGATGAGCAGAGTACAATAGCGCCACATTATCAACCCCGCTTGTTTGCAGAACATCCGCTCTCTGCAAGTGTCACTTGTAAATTCTCATCCAGTTGACACTTGTTCAGAGGAAGCGTCTTTCCAGAGATGCTAATTAGCTCGTGGTTTGTCTGGGTGAGCAAACCAGAACGTGATGAATACACGCACGCAGACAAACAAACACACCTCTCAGACTCTTTCACGCGTGGACACACACACACACACACACACACACACACACACACACACACACACACACACACACACACACAC